TGCTGAAAGAAATGAGGAGATAAGTAGAGACCTGATCTGCAGTAGAACAAAGGGGAAGGTGTTTCTAATTTATGAAAGGAAAAAGCCAAGGAACTTCTGTTCCTAAAAAGCAACAAAGGAACACCACTGCAAATGTGAACCAAGGGGTCTACTAGGCTCTATCCCAAGCAGGCATCATCCACATGGTTCTGGCTTTTAAGAGTCCTGAAGGATATGCAGGAGTAAAGGGATTGTGGAATCTTCCTCTGTGCTTAAGGAACGCCACTGAGGCTGGATACTGTGTAGCAGGACAGTCCCTGCATGAAGGCTCTTAGAGGGCAACAATTGGGAAAAGCCGTGGCAACAAAACCTGAATAGTATTGGAGATGCCAAGACGTTAGCAGTGCCAGAGCCTCGGGAGAGCTGCTCACAGAGGGTGGAACCAGCCCAAGAGAGGGGTGTGTTGCAGGCAGCAGAGCTGGAGACAGAGGCCACTTAAGGCCTGACACTGAACATACAGCTACAAGAGTTTGAGTTTGTCCTGCTGGATTTGGGTCTTGGTTTGGTCCAGTGCTCCCTCACCATGCCCTTTTGGAATGGTGATGTTTATTCTGTGCTTTATGTATTGGAAGTGTGTAATTTGTGTTTGATTTTACAGTGTATCACAGTTAAGAGATTGCCTTGATTGGAAGATTTGGACTTTGTTGTTATTGTTTTGTTTTGAGATAGTGTGTCTCTACATAGCCCTGGCTGTCTTGTATACCTGATTTGTCTGTCTCTGCCTCCCAAGTGCTGGTATTAAAGACATACACCCCCACCACCTGGTTTGAAATTCAGACTTTTAAACAGTTTTAAGACCAAAAGATTGGGGGCTTTTGAAGTTGGACTATAAATATTACATATTATGATTTTGAAGTTGGACTAAATGTATTATATGTTACGATTTTGAAGTTGGGCTAAACGTATTATATGTTAGGATTTGGCCATGAGTGGGGGGGGGAGCAGGAAGTGGAATGGAGTGGTTCAAAGTCCCTATAAGTATAGGGCTTTCAAATGCTTGGTCCCCAGTTGGTAGGACATTACAAAGTCTTAGGAAATGTGACACTGCTGAGGAAGTGTATCACTAGGACAGGCTTTCGGGTTTCAAGAGACTCGGTCTCTCTGTGTCCTGATTTCAGTCTGAGCTGTGAGCTGTGAGCTGCTTTGGTTTTTTTGTAAGTTTCTTTGGTCCCAGTGTTTTATCACAGAGTGGAACAGTATCTGATACGGACATCTTACACCTTGCTTCATTTTTTAAAATAACCTTGAAGATTTTCGCCCCATTTTACAAATGTAAAAGCTGGAGTTAAGAGGTCAACTTGACTAAGAGGTCAGCTTCTACCCACCCGTTAACAGAATCACTCAAATCCAACCTACCTGAGGGGCCGGGGGAGTAATCCTACTACTGTTAGCATGACATCCCACTGTGGTTCGGTGGTGCCTCTGTAGGCTGCACGTGTCTTCATTGGACACCCTTTTACTAAATGAGTGTTGACAAAGTCACTTGTACAGGTGGCTGGGGCTGTGCCCAGTCCCTGCTTCCCTGGACATAGCTGGAGGCATTGACGAGATGGCTCCAACCCCACTGCCTCAGCTTACTGGGAGGCCTGTGGCTGAAGCCGCCTCTCCCAGGCCGAGAGCAATTAGAGAGGACTTCACTTTTGTCCTCGAGTGCAGAGCTCCCATGTTCAGTGAAACCTACCCAAGAGCAAGGCAGATTGAAAGCAGCCTTGATGGTCAGATTTTGGAGTTTGAAGTTGACACGAGTCACTGGACTACTTCAGGGTCTTTCGTGTGTGTGTGTGTGTGTGTGTGTGTGTGTGTGTGTGTGTGTGTGTGTGTGTGTGTGTACGAGCACACTTTGCGTGGCACTTTCCCTTCACTTCTCGCCACCAAGGGGTAACAGGTGAACCTGCTCCAAGGTACATGTTGCGGTCACATCAGCGCCTTCGCAAGGCTTATCTGGTGATCTGGTGGCATACACCTGAAGTAAATTTTGACCTTCCTCGTCTCTCTTGGATCCCTTCTGTTCTAGTTCCCTTCTGCCGCTGTGGTAAGTGCCGTGACCGAAAGCCGTTTGGGTGGTGGGACGATTTATCTGGCTCACACTTCCTGATCACAGTCCATCACTGGGGGAAATATAAGCAAGGACTTGAAGCAGAAACCATGAAGGAAAACTGCCTGCCTACTAGCTCACAGGCTCACCCGCCCAGGGAACAGCGTCACCCACCGTAGGCTGAGCGCTCCCTCCTGTGTCGGTAACAGTCCCCCACATTCACGCACAGGCAGTGCGATCTGGACAATCCCTCAAATGAGACTCCTTTTTTGGGGTGACTAGGCTGTAAAGTTGAAAGTTAAAGCTAACCAGGACACTCTACCCTTGTCAACCGGACACAGAAACGTGTCCCTTTAAACCACAACCTTGTCTCAAGATCTTGTGTTAATATCACAGTGTAAAACACACTACAGCTTTAAGAGTCCAATGTCTCTTAACTCTGGGATCCTGTAAAACTAAAAATAAGTTTCATGCTTGTTCCAAAAAGGAAGAACGGGGCCATAAAAATGATTAGATCAAAACAAAAACAAAACCCAGCAGTGTAAGTCAAAACTCCTGTAGCTCAATGCCTGGTGCCTGGAACTCACTCACTGTGTAGCCTCCTGGCTCTGACAGGCTTGGGGAGCCCACTTCTCCATCACTGCCATCAGCAGCAAGCACTGCTTGTCCCATAGGCTCAAGCCGATGACACTAACACCTACTGTTTTCCTGGCATCTGTCTCTGGTACCCTGGGGTCTCCGTTGCAGCCAAGGCTGCCCTCGCCGGTGGTCTCTCAGGTGCTTGCCAGATGTACCACCTTCATCTACTCTCCATGACAACCTTGCACCTTGGAAACCAGTGCGACCTGGACAACGCTTGCATATACTATTTGCCAAGTGCCACTGCAAATGCAGAGATACAGCCTGCCTCCCGTGGGTCAGTTCTGTGTGCTCGCTGTGCAGCAATAGTTTTCTGTCGTCTCGAAGAGGCTTACCTCAGTGATGCTGAAGTCTCATTGGTCACAGCTGGTCTTTCAACCTTAGCTTGCCCAGTGTCACATTGTCCCAAGTGAAGCTGAAGTTTCACGGCAGTACTGTGGATTTCTTGTTACCCACCGTTGATGATCCAGCCCCAGGTGATGAGCCGGCACACGCTTTTAGCCAGAGTATCACACTTCCGCCCCCATCCTCAAATCTCAATAGTTTCTTTGCTACCCTCTGAAACCATCCCCCCCCCAGGACAGCCTTCCATTGTCCATGTTTCTCTAAGCATTCTTAGCTTCCAAGAGCCCACACGAGTGGCCCATTAAGTCGCAAGTACTCACAAGGAAGAGGTAGTCCAGTCTCGTGAGTCCAAGGATAGCCAGGGCTGCATAGACAAACCCTGTCTCGAGGAGCGGGGTGGGGGAGGAGCTTTTCTTTCCACCTAATGTGCATCTCCTCGTCATGGTGTCTGGTACCATGGGAACCCTTTTGCCATGGCCCAGTATTGCTTCTGCACTTAGAAAATTGACTTGTCTTTCAAGCCTTGCTGCTGGTCTCCTCTGCCCATTGAGCTAACTGCTTCCTATTGAGACAGTCTGATCCCTGACATGTCTTAAGATGAACTCAAGACTGGGAAACTAGGAGTGTTGGTCCATACCTCTGACCCCAGCACCTTGGAGGTTGTAGCCAGATTTTTCTTTGGGCCACCAGCTCACAAATAAAGACATGGTGGAGACGTCTTATAAACCATGAAAGCTCAGCGGGTAGCTTAGGCTTGTTCCTAACTAGCTGTTACACTTAGGTTAGCCCATTCGTATCCATCTATGTCCTGTCACGTGGCATTGCCTCTCTTCTATCTCGGACCTGTTTAGTGTCTCCTGGTGTCACACGTGCGCCTAGATTCCTTTTCCCACTTGTCCCTGGAAATCCTGCCTCTGCCTAGCTATTGGCCGTTCAGCTCTGTGCTAAACCCATCACACCGATACATCTTCACACAGTGGGCAGATATCCCACAAGAGGTAGAGTCAGAAGATGTAGCCACGCCCGGTGGCTGGTCAACCCACTGGGGCTGGAGGGATGGCTCCAAGGCTAAAAGTATCTTCTGCTACCTCTCCTGGCACCCAGCTCAGGCGACTCACAAGGGCCCGTAAGCTCCAGGGGTTCCAGGGCCCTCTTGGCTTACATGGGCACCTGTACCCAGGTGCACATTGTTAAAGATGGAATAAGCGAGGTGTGGTGGCACACGCCTTTGGGGTTTTATTTTTATATTGTTTTGTGAACATGTGCATGTGTCTGCTTCCTTGTGTGTGCATCACATCCATGCATGTGCCCGTGGGGGCCAGGAGAAGACATCCGATCCCCTGGAATCGGAGTCAGAGGCCGTGGAGCTGTCTGATGCGGGTGTCGAGAGTCGGGCCTGGGTCTTCTGCAAAAACTGCCGGAACCATTTCTCCAGCCCCCAACACACACCTTTAACCCAGCATTGGAGAGGCAGAGGCAGGCCTGGGTTATAATAGGATGAGTTCCAGGCTAGCCAGGACTACATAAGCAGACTCTGTCTCTAAGTAAATAAGTAAATCCTTAAAAATAAACAGGGATTGGAAGGTCCAGGGAGATGCTGCAGCCAGGAAACAGGTGGTGTCTGGGAAGGGCGTGATCGAGCGTGTGTGTTTTGTCATTGTTTACTTCTTTGTATGAGTGAGCATGAGTGTGTGCATGCTTGTGTGTGCTTGTGTGTGCGTGCATGCTGTGTGTGCCAGCCATGGCAAATGTGGAAGCCGGAATCCATCTTTTGGAAGTCACTTCTCGAGCTGTAGGTGCTAGGAAGTGAAGTCAGGTGGTCGAGGCTTGCACAGCAAGCACTTTCACGGGGCCATCTGGCAGGCCCTGTTGGGGTTTGTTTTGTGTGTTGTTGTTTTTGCTTGTTTTATTAATGAACTCTTCGTTGCTTCTCTCCAAACAGACAGCTACAGACAGTTCTTCCAATTCCTCTCAGAAGCGAGAGCAACATGCGAGGACAATCTCCTCCCCGACATCCTGTGAGCACCGGAGGATTTATACCCTTGACCCATATGCCATGGACCACTACCACCCCGACCAGGTGAGCAGGGGACTTGGTTCCTCTGGAAGCATGAGGACGGCTCTGCACCGGCCACCTCCCTCCTCCCCACCCAGCCCTAGCCGCTTCTCCCCCACCTCACCCTCAGCCGTGGTGGAAATGCTTCCGGTGGTTGCCGCTCAGCCGCACAAGGCACCTGGCCTTGCCCTGTGCTTTTATCCAGAGCGCCCCATGAGGCGGGGCATTGGCATCCTTGGTTTACAAATGAGAACATGTGAGGGGTGCCCGGGGGGGAGGAGGTCCTTGCACGGGGCTCTGGCTCCGTCTGTGTTCCTCCATGCAAAGGGCCTCCTGACCGTGAAAGCACGGGCCCCCAGTCCAAGGAATACTGTACACTTGGCTTGCGCCTCTGGCATGCGGGCTACAGGCCCAGTCTTGCTCAGGGAGATGTAACTGCAGCCTGAATTCAGTAATTGGACAGATACTTATGGAGTGGCTGTTTTGTGGAACAGGTTTCCCAAATCACGGGGAACAGACTGACTTGAAATAAAAAGAAGCAAGTGCTGGGCAGGGAGATTTTGTTTTGCTTTTGTTGCTGTTTTAAAATGCTTTTACTATGTGCTTCCTAATATTTTGACATTAAAATGTTCATATTTTTAGCTGGGCGTGGTGGCATGTAATCCTGAATTTGGGAGGCAGAGGTAGGCCAGCCTGGGCTACATGGTGAGTTCCAGGCCAATTTTGGGCTAAAACTGAGACCCCCATTTTAACCAACAAAAAACAACCAAACAAAATATTCCATCTTAAACCAGGCCTGCAATCCCAGCACTTGGCAGGCTATTGCTGTGTGATCCAAACACCTGGGGTCCGGGGGTGCTGCTTAAGCGAGAAAGGGTCTTACATACAGCCCATCTTCGTGGTGGACAGTCATGGTAGCAGGAGCTAGAGACACCTGGTGAGCTTACCTTCTCCTGTTTATACAGCCCAGGATTCCAGCCCCACAGTGGGCGTGTCTGCCTCCCTGGCGATTCAGCCAAACATTGGCTTTTCAAAACAGGGTTTCTCTGTGTAGCCCAGGCTGTCCTGGAACTCTCTCTGTCTCTGGCAGGCCTCAAACTCACAGGGATCCACCTGCCTCCGCCTCCCGAGTGCTGGGACTACAGCTGTGAGCCACCGTGGCCCGGCTGTACTCCTTCTTGAGACAGGGTCTTCCCAGCCTATCCGAACACACCATGTAGCAGAAAACCTTGAATGTACAATCTCCTGCCTCCACCTCCCACCTACCGGGATTACAGGTGTGGGTGGGTTCGGCGCCCGGTCTATAGTGCTCTGCAAGAATTTGCCCACTGAGCACAGACTGCTTCTTAAGATGGGCAGCCCTTCCCGTGAAAACAGCAAAACTGCTAGGCTGTACGCGTAATTGAGGTTTGCGATGTGAAAAACATCTGGGTTGTGACAAGCTGTCCGTAAAAGGTCTTACCTGCTCTTCGTAAAAAGTTTTACCTGCTCTTCATTCGCAACCCTGAAGGAAGGAAGGGCCCCTTGCAGATTTCTTTGGCCTCTGTCCCTGGAGCGCCTCGGGCTGTAACAGTATCTGGTTTTTCCCTGGACAGCGGCTGCCAACGAGGTCCTACCCTCAGGTCACCTTCCCAGAGGATGAAGAGGAAATCGTGCGCATCAATCCCCGGGAGAGGATCTGGATGACGAGCGGCTACGAGGACTACCGGCACGCGCCCCTGCGCGGCAAGTACCTGGATACCGCGGGGGACGTGGACTCCTACGTGCGCTTCGCCAAGGGTGAGGCCACCAAGCACGACTATAATTACCCCTACGTGGACTCCTCGGACTTTGGCTTCGGCGAGGACCCTAAAGGCGGCAGAGGCAGCGTGATCAAGGCGCAGCCCGCCAAGGGCAAGTCCCGGCGGTGGCGCAGGGAGGATGGTGAGCGCTCGCGCTGCGTGTATTGCAGGGACATGTTCAACCACGAGGAGAACCGCAGGGGCCACTGCCAGGATGCCCCCGACGCTGCCAGAACTTGTATCCGTCGTGTGAGCTGTATGTGGTGCGCAGACAGCATGCTCTACCACTGTATGTCGGACCCTGAGGGAGACTACACGGACCCTTGCTCGTGCGACACCAGCGACGAGAAGTTTTGCCTCCGGTGGTTGGCACTTATCGCCTTGTCTTTCTTGGCCCCCTGTATGTGCTGTTACCTCCCCCTTCGAGCCTGTCACCACTGCGGAGTAATGTGCGGGTGCTGCGGGGGCAGGCACAAGGCCGCCGGGTGATGAGCTCCCCACGTCCCCCCCTCGCACATCCAACCACTTGTCTCTTGCGTACTCCACCCCCACACACCCCATCTTCTCCCCGGCTCCCCTCCAGCTCCAAAGGACGAGGCCACGAGGAGGTCAGACTCCCTGGTCCCCTGAAGCATCATTCCAGGCCCGGGGAAGCTGCGCCCCTGGTGTCAGCCACATGCCCCCATAGGCTCACCATGTAGGTTGAGGAAAGGGGCCTTCAGCATAGACTCGTCGGTTTTACCAGCCTGCGGTCACACTGTCCGGCTTACCCACGTATTGATTTCCTGTGCCTCCTCCCCACCTCTTTGTCGCAAGGAATCTTCGGTAGAAACTTGTAAGATTTGGGGGAGTTTATAGTTGATTCCCCCCCAAGCACCGGAGACTGTTTTCCTCCACGTTGGGCTTGCCTGTTGCTGACAAGCACAGGTTCACCGGAGATGTGACCGAATGGTGAAACCCTTGGAAAGTATTGTAACACGCAGTACTCCAGGAGGTGAGCTGGGTAACAAGCTTGTACCACAAAACCGAGTTCTCCCATGTCTCCTACAGTTTCTGTCTTTAGTCCATCATCGTCTTCTGCCCCTCCCCTACCTGTTGGATTCATTTCACTGATGCAAAGCAGTTACCTTTAAAAAGACTTGAGAACTGAGCCTTAACTTCAGATTAACTTGTGAGAATCAGGAAAAATTCCTCAAATTGCATTATTACATCCTCTTGGACCAGGGTTAGAAAGGGGATTTTTGGGTTTTTTGAGCCTGCCCAGTTTACCCCTAAAATAGGACTTTTTTTTAGAATTCTGTTGCCACTTCTAAAATCTTAGCAATATTAGAATAACACACCACTGAAATAAATTTTACTCATTATTTTACAAACCAAATAGGTTTATTCAAATGCAAGACAGTGTTCTGGAAACGGGTTCCAGTTGAGAAACACTGAGAGCTGTGGTGAATAAAACTAGCCGTTTCTGCCCCCTGCAAGTTATTTTACATTTTTCAGGGGGAATTGTTTTGTTTTGTTTCTTGTTTTTTGTTTTGGCTTGGTTTAGTTTGGTTTGGTTTTGGTTTTTCGAGACAGGGTTTCTCTGTGTAGCTTTTGGAGCCTGTCCTGGAACTTGCTCTGTAGACCAGGATAGCCTCCAACTCACAGAGACCCACGTGCCTCGGGCTGGGATCAAAGGTGTATGCCACCACCGCCCTCAGGGGGAGTTTTAAACACCTAAATTAGTGGTGGCTGGCTTTTTGGATTTGTTTTTGTTTTAATTTGGGGCTCAATTAATTTATACTTAGGAAAAAACAAGGCCATATGTAAAAACCCTTCCAATGCCTAAGTGTCTTTTCCCTGCCACTCCACACCCATGTTTGCCACTTGGGGTGCACAGATCAGGGTGGATCACCAACTGATTCTACCCACCACTGAGCCACTTAAAAGGCTTGGAATTTGCTAGAGGAGGAAAAACCATTTTTAATATGTTGCAAGGAATAGCCAAATCTTGACGGGGGTGGGGTTGGGGTGGGGGGATGTGAAAGTGGTTACCTATACCTAGACAATCATAACTTCGCGGGGACCATAGGGGACACGCTTGTTGCCGCTGACTGTTCTCCCCACCAAGCTCTTTCCGTGGTGATTACCGGCGGAAGGCAGGCTCAGTCCCTCCTTCTCACCCATCCCTATATTGCGCACAGGACACCAGTCTTCAAGGAAAAGGACTTTTCTCCAGTGGGAAAAATGCTAGCCATGCTTACCTTTATGGCAACGTCATCTTCTGCTTGCCTTGGCGGCCTCTGTGTTTCTTTAGACGGGTCATCCGTGTAGATGATCAGTGTGCTTCTGAGTTCGTTGGTAGATGTTTTCCTTTGCTGGGATGGCTGGTTGGGACATCCATTGCAGAAGAGGTGCCAAGAGCTACAGCGTGGTCTATGGGGGGTAGGCGGTCTCCTTACCATGAGATCGTCTAGACTGCCTCCAGCCAGCCTCCAGTGCTGTGGAGAGACTGTCGTCCCCACTTGAGGAACTTCCCTCGGGCCCTTTCTCGGGTCACCTCTCTGCAAAGCACAACACTAATCTCTGTTTCCTCAGACCTCAGTTCAGCCGCCCCTATTTATTTCAGCCAGAGCGCACATCCCGGTTGCTTCCTGGTGGCTGCCTTTGCTGTCTTCTGCTCTTCCTCTGCTCCCGCTCCTTCCCACCCCTCCTAAGAGTTAAGCCTGTAAATCTTACTCCGCGCATCATTTTTGGTTTGTGAAGGCAGCGGCTAAGGGCACAAATACAGCCATGGGGACGTTTATGTAAATACGTTTAATTGCCACACTGCAGCTGAATGGTGTGTAGTATTTTCCCGGTCGGCTTTGCCATACTGATGTCAATCATCTGAGAGAAATTATTCAAATTTTATTTTTATATCCGTGATGATAACAAAACTTAGCCAAAAGATTTCCTGTTCAGAAGTTTCCCTGACTTCCCCTGCCCCAAGCTATTTGCTCGTGTTAACAAATTAAAGTGCCTCAAGCGTAATTCATTCACCTGTATACTAAAACCCCTGTTGTATTGATTTTTATAATAAGCCTTTTTACCTCTGTAAATATATACATATATATATATACAAGTGTATGATGTACATTTTAGTTCTTAACTTTTTTTATGGTTTCTAATATGTATGACCAATGTAGCCATTGCTTTAAAATGTACCATGTAAATATAAACACATTCTATCAGAACTGTTGGCTTTGGGGTATTTTTCTGAGCAGAGTCCTCGTGCAGGATGGGATGGGGTCCCTTTTGCAAAAGAACATGATGACATGTTTCTGTGAGGTCCTCCCCACCTATGGTTAAGATAATGTGTCCCCTCCCCCAACTCTTCCCTCCTTCCCTCCTCTCCATCTTCCCCACAAGCACTCCTCAGAGAGAGGCTGTATTTTATCCCCCCCCCCCCCCCCCGCTGTTTTCCACTAACCCTTGCTGAAGCCCAGACAGAGGGCATGGGGTTGGGAGACCATTCTCACAAGATGTTGGAGACCAAACCAGCCCATGGTCCCAGGGCAACTCTTGGTCCCGCTTTCCAAATGGATCTTTTGGGTGCCACAAAGCTACATTGGCAGTCCCCAGGAGGACATAAAATAGATCTTTTGAGAGTTACGGAAGCGTCTTCTCCATAGAACGCTAAAGAGGTAGGTATACAGACTCCTCTCCCATCCTTGTTCTAATACTCCCCAGAAAAGGGAGGCTTTTCTAAGCCACTGGCACAGGTCAAATACAAGATGGGTGCTAAGGGTTAGGAAACAGGAGGGTCTCTGTGGCTGTCCCGTGAGCTGGAGTAGGGGAAACATCGTAAGATCTCACTTAACAGCCAAGAAACCAAAGCTAAGACAGGGAACTAAGGTGACTGACTCTACAGTCACAAGGCAGGGCCTGGCTGGGCTGGGTAGTGACAAACCTTCCATGCTCTTAAAAGGGCCTTGTCCCAAGCTTCTGGGTCCCTCCATTCTTGGAAGGTGAACCATGACTGACTAGCCCACCAGCTCAGATTGCCTTAGAAATGGCACTTGGACTTCAGTACCAGGAACTAGGCTGGCTGTGAATCCCATTTTCAGCCTTCACAAAAGGAAGCATTCATGCTCAAGTCACACGAAGGAGCCCCATACAGAAGTAACGTCGCTAGACAGTTGTCCTCAGGCAGATGACTGCCATTCTCAGTCTCCTCGGGCACGATTGTTACAGGACCCAATTCAGTTACTTGTTCTTTCCTTCCCCCTGGCTAAAGGAGACGGAATCCTACCAGAAGTAGGGTTCTAATCTACACGGCTGCTCTGGCAAGGAAGGTGAGCTGCAATAATCTTGTACCATAAAACATACCACCTTATCTTTTTTTTTCTTTTGGTTTTTTCGAGACAGGGTTTCTCTGTGGCTTTGGAGGTTGTCCTGGAACTACCTCTTATAAACCAGGCTGGTCTTGAACTCACAGATCCACCTGCCTCTGCCTCCTGAGTGCTGGGACTAAAAGCGTGCACCACCAACTCCCCGGCTGCTGCTGCTGCTTTTTTTTTTTAAGTTTTATATTTATGCTTGAAGTTTTTTATTTTTTATTGTTATTTATGTGTTGGTGTGAATACATGCAAACGTCACTGGAGCCAGAAGAGGGTGTCAGATCCCCTGGAGCTAGAGTTACAAGTCCTTGTGAGTCACCAAACATGGGTGCTGGGAATTTTTACTCCGGCCTATGGAAGGGCCCTCTGCTTTGAGCCTTTTTTTAAACCCATCGTTTCTGTACCTCCCATGTCTGTTGAATTTGCTCAGTGATGCAAAACATTTACACTTCAAAGGACTGAGAATTGTTGAGCCTTAACTTGAGACAACGGTTGAGGCAAAGGTGACTCAAAAAAGAAACCCACTCCAGACCCAAGGGCACCTGCTGATTTACAGGGGACCCAGCTTCAGTTCCCAACACACGACAGCTCACTCTGTCTCGGGGAAACACTCGAACCTGTCTGAGACAGGAGGACTGCTTTGAGTTCAGTGTCCGCGTGTGCTATTAGTGAGTTCCAGCCAACTTGAGCTGGAGGCCAGCTTTCCAGGAAGCTACAGGAGAGATTTGCATAGAAGGGTGAGTGCGGCTGGCTGGAGGGGGCCCTCTCACAGGCAGAGGGCTGTGATCAGAGACACATCTGATCCTAATCAACTGGTCACAAGACGCTTTGCACCCCTGCAAATCTCACAACAGATCACTTTCCTAGGGCCATTCTCCGCTTTCTGAGCTGTCCATTCCGTGTGGACAGGCTGCAGGAGCGGCTGTCCAGAAAACAAATCTCACCTAGTTGTAGAGAATGGGTCAGCTGAGGTGAGCTAGGGCATGAACTCTGGCCTTGACAACACCTCGATGGTGGTTCCGTAATGGGATCCACAGGAGGTAAATTACTTCCTTGGTTCCTTGTTTGTTCTGGGCCCCTGGAGAAGACAACCAGATTCTAGACACAGGAGACACATGGTGGACGTTCTGTTGTCTATCGGCAACTTACTCGGTGTTTCTCTTTCTAACTGCGATGCTCAGTTTGGCTGGACTTCCTTGTTGACACTTCCAAGTATGCTAACAGCTAGCGGCTGCCCACGGTGGTTCACAGCTGGTTGGATTCTGGGCAGCCAGAATGTGCAGCATGGAAAACGCCAGTGGCCACTGTCTGAGTCGCTCTGTGGTGGAGCTGGTTGGTGGTCCAAGCTCAAAGGTACTTGCCTAACGTGAGGGCACAGAATGGCTACCTGAACTTAGGACATTTCTGTAAGCTCTGGGCCCTCTCCTGCAAGCCAGGCCTCCGCCTCTCCTCTGTGATGCTCCTCCAGTGAGACCACTGCTCCCCCAGAATGGTGGACACCCATCCTGAAAATCAGTCCGTTTCCAAAGGGAAAAGCACGGGCTAGGAAACCCCGTCTAAGGAACCTGCAGAACAGCTTGCAGTCTGTCATGGAAAGCAAGCAGGCTTGTAAATGGACGAGGGAGCTTGTGAAATCACCCTTGGCTACAGGCCTTTTTACCTCAGGCCTTTTAGGCTCTCTGACTGTGGAATGAGATGGTTATCTATCCCACACTTGGTGGCCTTTGTTTTCCCTTTTGGCAGTTCTGGAGATCAGACCTAGGGCCTTCTACATCCTGAGCTCCCACAGCTCCACCCCAGCGCCCCCAGTCCCGTCCCCCGCCCCCCCGCCCCCTCGCCACCCCCTCCCCCGTGTGTGTTTAGGCCTAAGCCAGTTCTTGAAGTGAAGGGGCCGGACCCTGGCATGCAGTGTCTGGCCTCAGCTGTCTGGCATCTTTCATGTCTTGCAAACCAACACCAATGGGTAACACTGCCAAGCTCTGCAGCGGGCTTGGGATGGAGCACCCCTGCACCCCTGCAGCCCTCACCCCTAGACCACCGCTTGTGTGCCCACTCTGGGGAAACTCCTTCCTAGGCAAGTGCTTTTGGGGGGGCTTCGAGAACCTCTTCAGCTCGTTCTTCCCTTAAAGGAACTTGGCTATCCCACAGGATGGAACCTCTGGAGGGTGTGGAACCGCCTTCAGGACGCTCCTCCTAGGGTCTCAGGACAGTGCCAGGCTTCCCCGCCGGGCCACTAATCTCTTTAATGGTTGAGTTGTTCTTAACCCTGCTCACACCTTTCCTCCATAACAATGAGTGCTTTGTCTCTGACTGTGGGTGTGATGAGCTAAGTGATTTCTAAAGTGCTTTCTTCCCTTCAGCTGTCTGACCCCAGGTTTACAGGGACTACTGAAAGGGAGAGCCTGGGCAAGCAAACTCCACTGGCTTGGGGCTTAGCTGGGAGGTAGAGCTTGGCTAGTATGCCTGAGGGACTGGGTACGCTCCCTAGCACACAACAGAACAGTGGGTGGTTCATACTATTCCAGTGTGCCAGACTTTAATCCCAACACTCGAGGCAGTGTCAGACACATCTCTGTGACTCTGAGGTCAGCCTGCTCTACTGAGCTGTTACACAAGAAACCCAGTCTCAGGAGTAAAAAAAAAATCTTAATTAAAAAAAAATTAGTAAAGTGAGTCTTTTAATTCAAGGAAGACAGGCTGCCAATGTATGCTGCCCAGGTAAAAGGCAGACACTCAAGCACATATCTGAGTTTTGAAAAATATGCTTGACATTTGCCCAGGAGATTTTCCTAATGATTAATGGAAATTTCAGCTAATGAATATTCTCTTGACCTCACCTTTGGTCACAGAGCTGCTGTCACTTTGTGTGAGGCTTCCTGGGGATCTGACAGGAACAGTGCAAGGGGAGTGTCAGGTGAACCATAGGAAGAACTGAGATTCTGCTGGGCGATGTGCAGATGTGTGCCATGCCTGCCGTAATCTGTGTGCTCAGGTCTGCAGATGTGTGCGATGCCTGCCGTAACCTGAGTGCTCAGGAGGTCTGCAGATGTGTGCGATGCCTGCCGTAATCTGTGCTCAGGAGGTCTGCAGATGTGTGCGATGCCTACCGTAACCTGTGTGCTCAGGTCTGCAGATGTGTGCGATGCCTACCTTAACCTCTGTGCTCAGGTCTGCAGATGTGTGCGATGCCTACCGTAACCTGTGTGCTCAGGTCTGCAGATGTGTGCGATGCCTACCTTAACCTCTGTGCTCAGGTCTGCAGATGTGTGCGATGCCTACCGTAACCTGTGTACTCAGGAGGTCTGCAGATGTGTGCGATGCCTGCCGTAATCTGTGCTCAGGAGGTCTGCAGATGTGTGCGATGCCTGCCGTAACCTGTGTGCTCAGGTCTGCAGATGTGTGCCATGCCTACCGTAACCTGTGTGCTCAGGTCTGCAGATGTGTGCGATGCCTACCGTAACCTGTGTGCTCAGGTCTGCAGATGTGTGCGATGCCTACCGTAACCTGTGTGCTCAGGTCTGCAGATGTGTGCGATGCCTACCGTAACCTGTGTACTCAGGTCTGCAGATGTGTGCGATGCCTACCTTAACCTCTGTGCTCAGGTCTGCAGATGTGTGCGATGCCTACCGTAACCTGTGTACTCAGGAGGTCTGCAGATGTGTGCGATGCCTGCCGTAACCTGTGTGCTCAGGTCTGCAGATGTGTGCGATGCCTGCCGTAACCTGTGTACTCAGGAGGTCTGCAGATGTGTGCGATGCCTACCGTAACCTCTCAGGATGAGATGCTAGTTTAAAAGAAAGTGGGGGCAGGGTAGAGCTCAGTGGTAGATGAACACTTGTGTGACTTCACTCCCC